CAACTACTCAGGCTAACTCAATAGGCACCTTGATTCACCCAACTGCTCAGGCTAACTCAGTAGGCACCGTGATTCGTCCAACTACTCAGGCTAACTCAATAGGCACCTTGATTCACCCAACTGCTCAGGCTAACTCAGTAGGCACCGTGATTCGTCCAACTACTCAGGCTAACTCAATAGGCACCTTGATTCACCCAACTGCTCAGGCTAACTCAATAGGCACCTTGATTCGCCCAACTGCTCAGGCTAGCCCAAGACACATCTTGATTCAGCCAACCGCTCAGGCTGGCTCAATAGGCAACTTGATTCACCCAAACGCTCAGGCTAGCCCAATAGGCACCGTGATTCGTCCAACTACTCAGGCTAGCCCAACAGGCACCATGATTCACCCAACTGCTATGGCTAGCTCAATAAGCACCTTGATTCGCCCAGGTGCTCAGGTTAGCTCAACAGTAGGGCTGGGCGATATGACCTCAAATCAATATCATGATTAACTGAACATTTTGCCTTGATTACGATTAATGAACGATAATTTTGTTTTTGTTTGTTTGTTGTTTTGCCCTCATATTTCATTGACAAAATTTCTACAGTAAATATGCTCAACTATTAAAGCTAGGATATTCTTTCTAATGACAGACTGTATATCTTATCTTTATGATTCTAAAATAATTGAAAGAAACACACAGATTAACCATTTATGGTTATTTATTGAATATTTCGATCAACTCAAATCAAAGCACAAATCGCTTGAAATGAAAATGTCTTATGAAAAAGGACACATTTTAGTTTTAATGTAAAAAGCAAGTTAACTAGAAAATAAATAGTTAGCATTTCTTGCAAACAAAATAAGCCATTTATAGTGATCGCGTCTGGGTGAAATTGATCAATATAAGGAGATGATCAGTATTAATGATTTTTTTTTTGTTTTTCTTTGTCTCAGGTAGATTGCCAACTAACTGACATTTGTATATTTATTACATGAGTATAAGGTAGTTAAGTTGTTATTAACTTAATTTTATTGACTTTTTCAAAATGCAATGCAATGCACATAAAGTATAGTTTATTGTAGTTTCGTTGCTGCATCTCATTGGCTTGTTTTTAGCAGTTTATCATAAACTTTGAGCCTATATTCATAATTGAGAGAAAACGACTTTCTTGTTCCCGTCATGTTTTCTGTGCACGCAGCATTAGCCTCAGGTAGCCAGTCAGATGCAGACGGGCTAATGCAAGGCAAAGTAGAGATGCAGACGGGCTAATGCAAGGCAAAGTAGGCAAGTAAAAAAAAAGAATTACTGTAGTTTTAGTTTTTTACATATGTTGTTATATATAAAAAGACCCAACATTAACAATGTAAGCGGGGAACTTGATGTACTTGTACAGGAATGATTCTGCCCTAAGCTTTTTGATCCATATATAAGCGGTTCATTACTATAACCCTGATCACTATAAGCGTTTTCCACTGCATTTAAAATATTGCTAGTGTTGAAGCTGATTGGTGGTATTACTTTTGGTAGCTGAAATTGTTTTTCTGCAGTGTTTACATTTGACCATTTTTGTTTGATGCTGTCTTCACTAAAGCTACGATGTGTCCAAATGACAGACCTGGCATTTTTATTTGGTACAAGCTACTGGAGTTGCTCAGTTGGCTAGGTGTTTGTGTTCACCTCCATATTGCTTCCATGTCGTAGACAGGCTGGAGTTACATGACAACACACACGGTAGTTTGTTTTTAAGGGGACAGTACCTGAACACACAATGGGGAAAGTGTTAACATTATTTTACATTTTATCAGAATTAAAAAAAAAAAAATGAAGTAACCAACATGGGCAAGATTACATTGATTAGAACTTCTGAATTTTGGTTTTCATTAATTTTCAATTAATTGCCCAGCCCTACTCAACACGCACCTTGATTCACCCAAGTTCTCAGAGTTAGCTCAATAGGCACCTTGATTCACCCAAAAGCTCAGGCTAGCCCAATAGGCACATTGATTTGCTCAAGTGCTCAAGCTAGCCCAACAGGCACCTTGACTCACCCGATTGCTCAGGCTAGCCCAACAGGCACCTTGACTCACCCGATTGCTCAGGCTAGCCCAACAGGCACCTTGACTCATCCGATCGCTCAGGCTAGCTCAGCTGGCACCTTGACTCACCCGATCGCTCAGGTTAGCCCAACAGACAGCTTGACTCACCCGAATGCTCAGGCTAGTCCAACAGACACCTTGACTCACCCGAAAGCTCAGGCTAGCCCAACAGACACCTTGACTCACCCGANCTCAGGCTAGCCCAACAGACACCTTGACTCACCCGATCACTCAGGCTAGCCCAACAGACACCCTGACTCACCCGATAGCTCAGGCTAGTTCAGCTGGCACCTTGATTCGCTTAGTTGCTCAGGCAGGTTCAACAGTCAGTTTGATTCACTCAACCAAGCATGCTTACTCAACATGGAACTTTAAATAAACATTATAGTGATTTCTCATTGAAACATTTCTACTTTTTCTTCTTCCCAGAGTGGCTCAACAAGCAACTATAAGCAGCCCTATTTTTACAGCCAAGATACAAGCTCTCTGATGCAAGGACCTTCTCAGGCAGGCTCAAGAATCAATCTATATCAGGGATCTACCCAGGCAGGCTCACTTCGAAGTCGACCAGCTACCACCCCTCGCTATACTAATGCTTCACCAAAGAAAGACTGTATAATTCTGTAAATGTTTGGCTGTAAATTCACATTTGCAAATTCCATGCCTAGAGCAGTATAGTTGCCTTCACTATATTTTAAGACTTTTGATTGCAGAAAAAAACGTCAATCTGAAGCATCTTGATTTAAGAAGTAGCAGTAGGCAGAATATTACGTAAAATATTGTGTGAAACATGCATCTTACAAACAACACAAAGCACTTAGTAGAAATGTACATAAAACACTAGGAATCTTTGAACCAAGTTAAATTCCTGTCCTGTTAATGTAATTTTTTTAACACAAATAGTCAAAAAGCTTGTTTGTGTTAGGTTAGGTATTCCCCACTTAAACTATCATTTTATATATGCCCACATAGTGGCCAGAACAGAGAAAGTGTTTATATTTGTCTGTTTAACTGGCTTTTTCCAAAACACTTTTAGATTTTTCGCCATTATTTGGGTATTTCGTTGGAGTAGTTCTGGTCAGGTGCTTTACTCCAAGGTACAGTAGTCTGGCCAGTCTTGAAATATCCGTGTATCTTTAACTACAAAGTTATTTGTTGTCCCTGGAAAGAATAACGATAGGCAGGGTAGGCCTATACCCAGGGGCGCCGTAAGGGGGAGGAAAGCTAGGACGATTCCAAGGGCCCCTGAGTGACAGGGGCCCTAAAAAATTAGGAAAATAACTGGATTGGTTTGGACTGGGGGGCCTAATATGATATGCTTTCATGGGGCCCAAAATCTTTAGCAACGCCCCTGCCTATACCTCATAAACTGTAGTCAGTGGAAAATTGCTGGCCTCAGTTTATAAGTAGCCTACAGTATAAACCACATATGGTGGACAAATTTTGAAATAGTACCTTCCAGTACATAAATGAAATACAGGCAGCCCCCAGCTTACGAACGAGATCGTTCCCTGAATCTGTGTGTAGGTCGAATTTGAAGTTCAGTTGGGAAAATAACAATAGATCACATAATAATAATTATTATTATTATTTTATACAGCAATACTGTATTGTACCTGGAATCCGACGAACTGCTGAAGCCGCGTAATGTTTTCATGAGCATCGATCCTTTATATTAGTCTGTCCCTAAAAACGAGGTATCCGTAATTCAGACGTTCTTAACCCTGGGACTGTCTGTATTGTAGAAACTTTAAATCAATTTTTCCATCATTGCTGGTACAGACCTAATGTTGATTATTTTTAATTATTTGATGCCGATACCAACTGATCACTTAATTGTAAAAATTACGTCGGCCTCGGAATGGTGCGTGAGTGTTCTGTGCGATGGGTTGGCGCCCTATCCTGGGATGTTCCCTGCCTTGGACCATCCAGGATTGGCTTCAGACCCCTGATATGACAAGCAGTTACAGAAAATGGATGGATGGACGTCAGCCTCGTTATTTCCTTAAGGCATTAAAGTTGATTTAAAGTGAAAATGTTGTACTTGTATTTCATTTCATTAGCTAGTACAAAATAAAAATCTTTGTTGTATAATGTGACGTTATAAGGACACCAGAACAAACCCTGAAAAACTATTATCATGACAGATAATCATAATCACCGTGCTAACTGGTTTCGCGTCCATTTTTTTAAAACGGCTGCCACTATACTTATCAATTATACTGTAGATGAAAACTTAATAAGGCGTAGTACCTTAACCCTGCTCCTCTTGACTGCTATGAAAACACTGGCACAAACTCTATATTATTCTCTTGTACATAAAACCTCATCGGTAGTTAGGTGCCACCTAAGAGGTGTGATGCTTTTAAGTATCCAAAGGGGACGAGCGTGTCAGTAATACTAATCTCCAGCGCTGCCAACTCACGCATCTGGCGTGACACTCACACTTTCAGACTCTCACGCAAGAAATCTTATGGCAAATCTACATTAGCGGTAATAAGGGCCTTGGGGTAGTTTGCAAACCCTACAGACTATTTACAGGGTAATAAAACTGCTACATGCATGTAAATGCTTGTGCATATGTGTGCAGGCTTGTCTCGAATTTAAAATCTCACTCCAGCCAGTCGACCAAAGCTGGTAACCCCGAATCTCTAAACATATTCATTCTCTGAAACACGTTCATGTATTTCACTATTCAACCAGGAATACTGCAGTTTAATTTGAAACGCATCTGTATCTGTATCTAAGATCATGGGTGATAAGTTTTAAATACACGGCTTTCAGGAAAGAAAAAAAGAACAAAATGTTTAAAAAACGTTAATAGTTTTTTGTGAAATATATCTTAAGTTCATACACACGTATCAGCAATGACATGTAGGCTATAGTACGCGCTTCCAAAAGCAACCGTATATTTAAACCAGGTAACTTGCGATTGCAGAGAAATATTTCTTGGAATATGGATATTTTATCCGCAGCAATGTCAACAGCTGCCTTTAAATGTCAGTGTGATTTATGCAATGGCATTGAAAGGGGAGCGCAGGGTAAGGCGGTGGGTTTCGCGTTTTCCCGGCATGCCCTGCGAAGGGGAGCGCTGCAGGGGCTGGAGCGCCGTGCGGCAGCATCACAGCGGAGGACGCGGAGCGTTGCACAGGTAAAAATAGAATAAAGGCTGATAATCTGCTCATTTTGTGGGTGAAGACAGTCATATGTAGACAACAAAGGTTTTATTTGCGACGCCGTTTTTCCGCACAATTTCAAATTTACTGTATGGTGCGAATCGCTCCCTAAGCTGTTACCAGTTCTCAGAAAACAGCTTGTTAGATTTTGCACAATTCTAGCATCATTTACACATAAACGTTATTTGAACGCTGAAAGTAACGGCTGTATCCTCTTTTTGAGCGTCGGACTAAAGTAATTCCTCATTCATATGCTTTATGCCCCGTGAAAGCATCAATATTCATTATCTCGTACCTGCGTGTCTGTAAAAATTGATCGTCCGGTGGATGTATTGTATTGAATTCTGAGCATTTTCGTTTGCTTGGTGCGAGAAGATCGCCAGGTTTGGGCTGGGCTTTTGCATCAGCGAACATTTAAGATAGAAGCCACAGACCAGCGGTTGCAAATGGAGAAGCGCTCCGAGTCTGCTGGCCGCCGATGGATATTTCGATCGTGCGCTTGGAAATACACCCTTAACGTTTAATTAAAACTTTGCTTTTAATCTGATACCACTTACTTAAATGTGGTGCTGTGTCGGCTATACACTATGAGGTGAATCAATCAACGGAGCTCCTTTGCAAGTCAGCAGATAGCATAGGTGATAATGCAAAACTTATGAACAAATTATCAAATAACTAAATGTTGATCTAATCCAAGTGTTCCCAGGCCTGTTCACTAGTGTTTCTAGATAATGCAGTTTATTCTAGGTGATGCGGTTTTCTGTCTAAATAATTCACTAAAGCAGTGAAGAGCTGAGGTTGAGTGAGGACCAGCGCTTGGTGTCACCCTGGACGATGCCGATTGGGACGCGAAAGATGCAGTGTGGCTTCAGAAATGCAGATGGGCCATTGTTTTGGAAGACCAATTTTAATTTGCTGTAAAAGAGAGCAGTGGCTGGGCTCGACTGGCCAGAACGCATGTAAACGTGTTTGGGTGTGTTAATGATGGGAGTGAAGTTCAGTGGAGTAGCCTGAAATCTGAAGTCAAGATATTACATGATCTTTCTGCAAAACTGTGAGATTGTATATTTGCAAGTAATTATACCTCTAAAAAGGAAACTACACATGTAATTTACACATGAAACTTAGCGGCCAGATTTATGTATAGAGGTTTGTTTCATTAAACTAAGTTAGGAGGATCATTAGACTGATTCTGTCTTGCGTGACGTGTTGTCTTTTTATTGGTTTGACTTCCCTGGGTCGTGTCCCGCAGAGAGTTTATTGGACGGTGTCCTGTGGTGACATATTGATATACCCAGACCCAAATAATGGGATCCTCCAGCACAGGGTGCCTGTATTGCTGGAGCCTTAGAGAACCTGAGGTAGTGCTCTGTATTCATTAGCCCTGGGTAAGATAAAGATAATGAGGACTACCAGCCAGCTGTTGTGAAATATCATCCCCAGCGGGGTCCCAGGCTTAGGCATGCTGCGAGGTAATAAAGTGATGCTGATTCGTACATTTAATATGGACGACGGTGAAATACCGAGAAATCAGAAGTGCTGAAAAGAATCCCTCTGTCCTTACTCAAGCTTGATTTGACTTACAGTGCATATGGCATATGTGGATTCCACCATATTGCTAAGCCGTTGTCTTGTGCTCGGAACATAAGATGCATCTTGCTTAATTGCTACTTTGATCATGATCATATGTTTAACATAAAATACATCCTTATGACTTACAAGTAATTAGGAAAGTGAATGAATGTGTTTTTCAGCAGTGAGGATTTTTTTCTTTTGTGGCACATAATGTAAGGGTACTGTACGCTGCAGCTAATACAGGAGAGTTTGGAGGTAGTGAAGGACATACTGAAGAATGTGGGTCAGCAAGCCAGATGAGTGTTTGAACTCTGGTGTAGTATGGAGTGTTTTGGCTTAGGTTTCCATATAAGCCTTGTTTCCAGTAATATGTAAGGTGTTTTATGTTATATATTTGAGTATTCTTTTTGACTTTGACATTTCCACAATGCCAAGGAGTTAAGAGAAGAAAGGAATGTGTGTGTGGCCTCATAAACCAATTCTACCCAATATTTATGTGTCCTGCACTATCCTTTTTCTAGATGCTTCAGTGCCTTGATCATGTTTTGCGTTGGACTGTGGATGTTTTGAATTATGAAGTCACATGATGCCGACTGGCTTTGTTGCAATGTCAATGATACTTTTAATTCTGCATTATAAAGATGTAAATAAATGTTTCACACAAATCTAGATTTGTAAATGTAGCAGCCATTTTGGTTTTATATTGCGTTTTATATTGTGTACAAAACAAATAGCAGTATACAGGTGGTTTGAGCAGAGTTTAGTTGCTCCTGCTTTAGAAAATGATTGTTCTTTAGTAGGGATGCTCATTTCGATTAATTTTCCCAACCGACAACCGCCGTTCGTTAACCGAACATTAACCGTTAACTGATTAGATTAGAATATTAAATTCCTCTGGGGTCGGCGGTCCCGCCGGCGGGATCTGACAGAAATTTCGCCAAACCATTTAAATAAC